AAACTCTAAGGCAATACAGCGAGTAAGGGATAAATGAACATCTAGAAATGTGAGGCAAAACAGTGGCTTGCGCGGAATACATGGATATGCCTGCAGGACAGAAGGAAGCTAAGAGAGGTTTCTTGAAGAAAGGACAGAGAACGGATGAAGCACAAGCATACGATATGGCTGTTAAATAGTTCAGAGAATATAGGGCTAAGCAGCGGCGCGCAGAAAATGAAATCATGCCGTGATGCTAATGGATTAAAACTAGGCAACCCTAAGCAGGGAGAAGACAGTGTGATGGCTGAACTACAAGTAACCAGCTGTCATAGACGAGTAAGTGACGGCTGAGCATCAAGCAGGGATCAAGTAAGAATTAAATGAACGTCTGGCAAGGAAAGACTAAGGAACATCTTTGTACATACTACATGCGTTATATTTACCCTGCAGAAGAGAGCTAAGAAAGGTTGGATGATGAAAGGACAGCGGACGGGAGGAGCGCAGACATACAATGAGGTTGGTAAGTAGTACAGAGTATTAGAGGCTAAGACACGTCGGCGCGCAGATAAGCAAATTATGTTGGGGTGCTAATGGAATATAACTAGGAAAGCCTGAGCCGGGAGAATCCAGTGAGAGAGCTGAACCACAATTAATTAGGTGTCGCAGACGAGTAACTGACAGCTGAGTATCTGGCAAGGAGCAGCCGTGCATTGACCGGGTGAGATAGGGAAGGTTGCCAGACGAGAGCAAAAAGGTTGAATGAAGAAAGGGCAGCAGACAGGAAGAATGCAAGCGTACAGTGATTTGATTGAGGGCGTCATATCATATAATGCTGAACCACGGCGGTGCATAGGTTCACAATTCATGCTATGGTGCTGGGATACAACTACTTTGAAAAATGCCTGAGAAAGCTTGTCCAATAGCTGGACGCTTGCAGGTGAAAAAGTCGAAGACGTTACAATAATTAAAAGATATGAGAGCGTATAGAATAGACAGGCTAAGGAGCGGCTGTGCGCTGACTTGATGAGTTGGGAAGAAGTGCTAGGAGAAAGCCGAAAGGTTTATATGGAAGGGCATCAAACAGTTGGAATGCATGCATACATTATGTCTGCTGAGGACGACGAATCACATGAGTCACAGGCGCGCAGCTACTGAGTCCTGTTAGAGTGCTAGGATATCAGTGCTGTTAGACTGGGTTGGAAAATGCCAGTGAAAGCTCTGGGCTCCTACATGAGTGGGCGTCACAGACGTTGCAGCAAGCAACGGATAAATGGTCGTTTAGAAGGGAGAGGCAATGGAGCAACTGTGCGCAGGCCACATGAATTAGGTTTGCTCCACAGAAGAGAGTTGAGAAAGGTTTCATGAAGAGAGAACAGCGAACGGATGAAGCGCAAGCATACGATATGGTTGTTAAATAGTTTAGAGCATAAAAGGTGAAGAGTCGGCGACGCGCAGATGATGAAATTATGCTGTGGAGCTAATGTAATCAAATTAGGGAAGGCTGGGTCGGAAGAAACCGGTGAGAGGGCTTAACTACAAGTAATTAGCTGTCATAGACGAGTAAGTGACGGCTGAGCATCAAGCAGGGATCAAGTAAGAATTAAATGAACGTCTGGCAAGGAAAGACTAAGGAACATCTTTGTACATACTACATGCGTTATATTTACCCTGCAGAAGAGAGCTAAGAAAGGTTTGATGATGAAAGAACAGCGAACGGGAGGAGCGCAGACATACAATGAGGTTGGTAAGTAGTACAGAGTATTAGAGGCTAAGACACGTCGGCGCGCAGATAAGCAAATTATGTTGGGGTGCTAATGGAAAATAACTAAGAAAGCTTGAGCCTGGATAAGCCAATGAGAGAGCTGAACTACAATTAATTAGGTGTCGCAGACGAGTAACTGACAGCTGAGTATCTGGCAAGGAGCAGCCGTGCATTGACTGGGTGAGATAGGGAAGGTTGCCAGACGAGTGCAACAAGGTTGAATGAAGAAAGGGCAGCAGACAGGAAGAATGCAAGCATAAATAATTTTACTGTGGGATCCACATCATATAAGGCTAAATCACGGCAGTGCGTAGGCACACAATTCATACTGGGGTGCTGGGATAATACTAGTTTGGATAGAACCAGGGAAAGCTACTCCACGAGCTGGACGCTTGCAGGTGAAAAAGTCGACGACGTTAAAACAATTAATAGATGTGAGAGCGTCTAGAAAAGAGAGACTAAGGAGCGGCTGTGCGCCTACTTGATGAGTTAGGAAGGAGTGCTATGAGAAATCTAAAATGTTTATATGAAGGAAAGACATTAAACAGGCAGAACGCATGCATCCATTAAGTTTACTGAGGACGACGAAGCACGAGTCAGTGGCGCGCAAAATACTGAGTCCCGTTAGGGTGCTAGGATATTAGTGCTAAGGTAGTCTGAGCAGGAATATGCCAGTGAAACATCTGTACTCCTACATGAGCAGGTATCACAGACGTTGCAGGGAGCAACGGATAAATGAACATTCAGAAAGGAGAGGCTATGGGGCAACTGTGCGCAGGCTACATGAGTTAGGTTTGCTCCACTAAATAGAGTTAAGAAAATTTGCATGAAGAAAGGATAACGAACGGATGAAGCGCAAGCATGCAATACGGCTGTTCGATGGTTCGGAGCATAAGAGGATAAGACACAGCGACGCGCAGAAAATCAAACAACACTGGGGTGCTAAGTATTATAACTAAGGAAGCCCGAGCAGGGCAAAGTCAGTGCGAGAGCTGATCAACAATTAATTAGATGTCGCAGACGAGTAAGTGACAAATGAGCACTTGGCAATGAGCGAGTAATGGTTACTTGAACGTCTAGCAAAGAGCGGCTGTGCATGGACTACTTGAGTTATGTTTGCTCCACGAAAGAGGTCTAAGAAAGGTTTCATGAAGAAAAGACAGCGGACGGATGATGCGCAAGCATAAAATACGGCTGTTAGATACTTTGAGTGTGGTTCAAGTGTCTATATGGTAAACAGTCAAGGCATTATAAGTGATGTGAAAGCGGTAGATATAGACAGAGAGGAACTTAATCTTGTTCCTTTTAAGGAAAGGTTTAAATAGGACTTTAGTCAACTTGCTAGTATGTAGTTGTGGGCAGTGCGTTTATTCAGTGGCGAGTTACAGTCGCCACGTCGCAGGGTTGTTAAACGGACATTTATAGCTTTTTATACGGTGAAAGCTTGCGATGCGAAATCCCACCACGTCCTGGAACACCACTGTAAGTCCCTTTGTACGGTATGTATAACTGGCGGCGCAGATTGTCGACTGCTTTCACATTCGATTATTTGAGGTCGACTGACTTCTAAGTTCCTCTGTCTGCTGATCAGATGGCTTGGTCAGGGCTGCCAGACTCTCTGTGAAAGGTAGAGGATGGAAGGATCACGAAGAGCCGTGCCTTTGAGTGTCCAGGTAAGTAATAGTTTTAAAGTTTATGATATCAGAATTTTGCAAAGTATATGTTTAGGGAGTGTGTAGGCATTTTGTCTAGTTATCCACACTCGAAAACGGTAGTGGGGGTGAGTGCAATCGGATTCTTTTTCGTGTACTGCCATGGTCGACGTAGGTCATTGTGGGTTGTTACGTCCGTCTCGAGCGAAATAAATAAATAAATAAGTAAATATTTTATTCTCGACTATGCGAGGCACGCTCATGGAGGCATGATCATATATGTACAACGGTACAAACATTATAATGCAATTGTAACAGTAACGCAGAAAATTGTTCATATATCCATGGTTGGAACTGTACAATGTTGAAAATGCGAAACAAAAAGTTGGCTGTCATGAGATACGGGACCTCAGCTAATAAGAGATTGAGAAACCTGAATGATCCACTGAAAGGTAATGGAAGAGCCCGCACACAAGGAAGGAAAAGGGCAACGTATGGTAGGATGTAAAACGACAACAGTATATACAGATGTAGAAGTCCCAGTGTAACGATCCTATGTAGAATTGTGACGCTAGTTGACCTGCCAGTGTAAAGTTATGGGCTGTGACTTTATTCGGTGGCGAGTCACATACGCCACGTTGCAGTGTTGTTAAACGGACATTTGTGGCTTTTTGTAGGGAGAACGCTTGCCAGGCGAAAACCCAACACGTCCTGGAACACTTCCACCAATCCATTGAATGGCAAATTGTAACTGGCTATGTTTCTTGTTAAAAGTCTGTTTGCTCGGTTATTCGCAGTCAGTTTGCGTCCCATTTTTTCCGCTGGTTGATGCAATAACTGGTTGCCTATTGCGTTCCTGGGTCCTGTCCGTTGGTAGGTCGGGTACTAAACATTCTTATTGAATATGATGTGTTGATCCTTCGCAGAACCACATGAAGTCATCTCTGATTATGTATATTTGCCGGGGAGCGAAGAATTCGTGTCCAGCTACCCTCACTGGACATCGGTGGTTGGGTGCAAATAGTTAGAGTGGAAGTGAGGCCATGGTCCAGGTAAGTACTTGTTGGTTATTTCGTCCCATCCCAGACGGAGGCAGTTCCTCAGTTCAATCCCGAAGCTCTCCGATGTTCACGACCTCAGAGAAAAGGGAGAGAGGAACAAGCCGAGAGAAGACCGAAAAGGAACAGTCGATGTACCTAGCGTTTGATCAAAATCCTACATTAAGACATTTATTTGAGACAACTAGTGTACAAGGTGTAACAGATATTACGCTAAAGATGTTTTTACTTATGCGGAAGGCATGGCCTGATGGGTAGAATACTTTCATGTGCATACGGATGAAGAGCAGGATTCCGGTAAGATATTCATGAGGTGTAAGCTGACAATGTTCGAATTCTACCTGAGACTAGAAAGTGGGTGTGTAGCCACGATTGGTTGTTATCGGAAACCCAAGGACAGTGACGATGTGGAAGGAGGGGAGAGAGCAGAAAGGGGTGAAAGATGACATCCAAAGGTTCTTTCCCCCCCTTTCTTTTTTTTTTTTTCCCTTTTTCTTTTTTTCCCCCCCTCTTTTCTCTTTTTCCCCTTTTCCCCCCCCTCCCCACCGTCCTCCCCCTCGTCTCCCCCCCCCCCCTCCCCCCCCCCTTCCCCCCCCTCCCCCCCCCCCCCCCCTCCTCCCCCTCCCCCCCCCCCCCCGCCCCCCCCTCCTCCCCCCCCTCCCCCCCCCCCCCCTCCTCCCCCCCCCCCCCCTCCCCCCCCCCCTCCCTCCCCCCCCCCCCCCCCCCCCCCTCCCTCCCCCCCCCCCCCCCCCCCCCCCCCCTCCCCCTCCCCCCCTCCCCCCCCCCCCTCCCCCCCCCCCCCCCCCCCCCCCCCCCCCCCCTCCCCCTACCACACCCACTCCCCTCCCCCCCCCCTCCCCCCCCCCCCCCCCCCCCCCCCCCCCCCCCCTCCCCCCCCCCCCCCCCCCCCCCTCCCCCCCCCCCCCCCCCCTCCCCCCCCCCCCCCCCCCCCCCCCCTCCCCCCCCCCCTCCCCCCCCCCCCCCCCCCCCCCTTCCCCCCCCCCCTCCCCCCCCCCCCCCTCCCCCCCCCCCCCCCCCCCTCCCCCCCCCCCCCCCCCCTCCCCCCTCTCCCCCCCCCCCCCCTCCCCCTCCCTTCCCCCCCCCTCCTCCTCCTCTTTTTGTTTTTTTTCCGCCCCCCCCCCCTTTTTTGTCCTTTTTTTTTTTTTTCCTTCCCCCCCCCCCCCCCCCCTCCCCTTTTTTTTTTTTTTTTTTTTTCCCCCCCCTTTCTTCCCCCTTTTTTTTTTTTTCTTTTTTTTTTTTTTTTTTTTTTTTTTTTTTTTTTTTTTTTTTTTTTTTTTCCCCCCCTCTCTCCTCTGTTTTTTTTTTTTTGTGCAGTGTGGCCCAATAACTATTCGCTTTATTTACCCTTGACATCCCCCGCTTGATAAGTTTTATTCAGCACGATCCAACAACAATCGTTTTTTGGGCGGTGGCCTAAACAAGACGCATGGGAACTAGGTTGGGCCTGACTGATAATCAAAGAGAAAGGTCCTTGTTGCAAACATTTTTTTTTTTTTTTTTTTTTTTTTTTTGCTTTCTGAATCCCCCCTCCTGTCTTGTTCTTTTGTTTATTTTTGTAATTAACTGTAGTACCCTGCCACACTTATAAGGATCTTTCTTACAAAAGCAGGACATTTCTACGCAATTAATTGCTACTGGGGACTATGCGTTTCATCGTAAAGCGTGTTTTCATATCACCTGTCAGCTTAGAAGCTTGCATCAAAAGTAAGTAAACTTGATGACGAAAGCGCACAAAAACTATCGAATCTCTGGATTGAATGAACTTTGAAGCCATCAGTTTTTCTAGTAAAAAACCTGATGTATGCCAATTAACTACAAACCGACCCACTTTGATTGGACAACACAGAGACGAAAGACGCGGGGTTGCATTGCAGAAGAGGTTTTCTCGATTTCGCCTGGAGAGTCATTTGCGCACATAATTCGATTTCGTCCGGCATAAGGTTACATGACCGCCTAGCCACTGCATACGCCTGAGTCCATTGCTTGCAAAATGAGAAAGGCCGCAATTCCCGGTTCCATTGAGTGCATCTCGTGCAAGCTCGTAAGAGTATGAAACACCTCCAAGCCAACGAGTAAGCAATGAATGATAAGCTCTCGCTCTAGGCTCGAAGACATAGTCTACATTAAGTCCCGCAGAACAAAGCAGTTGTAGTGGTAGCATTTACAGATGAAACCAACGCGAATACATTTAGAGATGTGTGTCCATTTCTGAGCTGAATCGCTTGTTCTTACCGAAGGGTCTTAGTAAGGTATTTAAGTAAAGAGAAATACTAGATATAACTTTGACGTATAGCACATATGTTAGAAGAGAATACCCTCTCTTCCTTCCCTCCTCCCTCTCCAGGGGAGTTTGGACCTCCGATCACTTTTGATGATTCCTCTTTACACAACATTCAAAGTCTACAAGAAGGCTTGACGCCTGGCGGGCGAAGGAGTAGTCCCAATAGTTGAATAGACGCATACAGCAAACAGCTGCCGCCAGAGTGAGAGATAGTGAGTCTAAAGGAATGAGGTAAATCAGTGGCTGAGTCATAAACCATGATCAGTTAACAGACGTGACCAGAGGACTCATAAGTCGGAAGTAAACGCGAGTTAAGGTATCAGGACGACGGATAACGGGCGCAATAGAACGATGTGGAGAT